ATATTTTATCATCAGGATGTTAGTGTTGATTCTCTTAAATCAAAACAGGATCGTATGTTTGGAATTTTAAAATTACTACTATGCTGTTGTGTAGTTTAACCTATAAAACTTCATCGTGCCTTCTTGTTTATCACAATAACCTGGATCTGAAAAGTAACTGCTAAATCCAACTGTCAAATAAATGTGAGGAAGTAGTAAGTTGTATATGTTTAAATTTCAAGTTCCTCAAAATGGTTAATGTGTTTAAATTGCAAAGAAGCTTTACTTCTGCTATAAAACACGTTTAAGTACAGTGGATCTTCATGTTCCATGTGTGTGATTGGTGAATACACATTGGGATTCTTGGTTTGACAACAGTTTGTTCATTCGAGGTGAAACAGGGAATCAAACCTCTGGTACTTCACATCACAGAGTTGATTTTTTTCTCTGAATAACAAACAAAAAGATTTTTTCAATTCTTCATCCGAAGCTGATACATTTTATGACACGAGAGACGTGTCTGTAAATGTATTATTTTAAAAGTACAGCAGTGACACATCATTTCTTGGATCGTTGAGGTGTGTCCTCGTTTAGTTGTGGAATAGATTTACATACGTTTATTCTTCAAACTGTCAAATAGAAAACTTTCTGCACTTTACTATCTGTTAGTCAAATGTGTTTAAAACTTGTTTAGGTTGGTCCTGCCCCCACACATTTGCATGAATGAATGAAATTTCAACCTGTAGCACATACCACACACTTGGTCCTCACGTGTAGTTTGTATGGGGGATAAAAACCTATTGTCTTGATATGTCTCTGTGATTAGTGAGTTGATATCAAAGCAGCCATTTCCATCCACCAACGGAGGCAGCAGCCAACGGAAGAACTAATCAAGCTCCACTTCCTCAAACCCTCACACTTCCACTCTACAACAGCCCCCATTAAATCAATTGGTCATGATCCCACAGGATTATCAGGGAGGTTTGCTGAAGCCTCCATGTTGTGATCTGCTGCTGCTGGATACTGTTTCATTTATTTTTTTTATTCAACCACCACAGACAAACAGCAAACTTCATTGCATATCTCCCAGCAGCCCCCGGTAAACGTGTCCATTGAGCTTCCACCGGGTTGAGTGCGGGAGCAGAGTCCAAAGGATGAAAAAAAACCTCAACCCCATTAACTGAACTTCAGAGGAATTCCTCACTTTACATATGGAATGCACTTTAGGTCAAAGGGCAAAGGGCCAGAGGGGAATCCACCCGCGCCCAGGCAGGCAGGCCTTATTTAAACAAGCCAGGAATGCCTGGTTGGAGGAGAGGAGAAGAAGGAGAAGGGGAAGGAACCTCTCTTCCTTTAACATGAACAGGGGGGCACCGCCAATAAATACCAAAGCTTTTTAAATCACCGGCACTGGTTGACTTCATGTGCTACTGACTCTGAAATTTATTATGAGCTTTTCCCACTCATATATTCTCCAGTCAGACGGAGAAAAGGTGTGTGAGGAGGTAGTGAGGAGGTGAACTCACTGGAAATGTGTGTCATGTGTTGGGCAGGACCAGAGAAGTGCAGTCAAACTCTCACACTTACACTCCTTCTTCTCTTCCTCCTCAAAGTTTGACAAATCCTTGTTTTCCACACTGTCACTTGATTACATAGATTCTGTTTGTTTCCTTTTTGCAGCTCTGACTGGAAGCTATAAGGTTATACTGTGATATATTCAAACATATAGATCTCAGTATTATTTTATGCCTTTGCACAGTTTTAAATGCATTTTCTTACTTAATACAAATGTTTGGTATCTTTGGAAACTCTTTCTACAAGAAATTAAATAAAAATCTGCGTGAGTGAATGACAAATCCTTTACAGTTTAGAAAAAACATGCACAAAAGGATGAATGCATATTTTGGTTGCTTATTTCAAGCAGTTTCAAGTCATTTCATCAGAAAAAACATTTTCTGAATTCACACCATCAACTACAAATCAGTAAACTTGTGCTCAAACTGCACATTCTGGAGTTTTCAGTTGAAACCTGGAACATTCCTGCACCGGTTGTTTACTAATTGGTCGCTGCCTGATCACCTGCCCCTCTGTAAATGTCAGGATCAATAGGAGAGAGGACCCTGCGAGCGCCTGTAAATACAAAACCCTGCATTCCAGGCGTGGGCCAACCTCTCCGTTTTTAGGACCATCTCGCCAAAATTTCTTACAAATGACATGCTACAATCCCCATGGCCGTGGTGGAATTCTGTCCACTTCAGGGCTTCAAAGCTGCACAGGACCCGCTGGGCGGCCTGGCCAATAGGTGAAGAGGGGTGGACCCTGCCTGCCTTGACCTCACCGACCTTCTCCAACCTCCCCCACCCACCCACCCACCCAGTGTCCTGCTCCTCATCCCCCCACACGTCCACCTCGACCATCCATCTATCCAGCCAGTCAGTGGGTCGGGCTGTCCATCTGTCTGCAGGTTTCAACGTATTTCTGCCCCAAATATTCAAATTCACAGCCGCATTTCCCCTCAGCATCGTCAGAATTAAGATCTCAATTAATTTCCTCTTTTCATATCATTAAGCTCCTGTTCACAGGAGGATAAATGGATTTGCTTAGTGAGTGTAATCACATTTTCCAGAAAAAGAGTCATTCTTTTTGCTTTTCTTCTCTTCTGACTAAAAGCCATTTATCCTGCATTTGTCATATCAACACACCGACTCTCCACAGACGTGTATTAGCAGCTCAAGTGAACCAGACAGACAAAAAAATGGTATTTTTATATCCACATAGATACAAGAGCAGAAGTTTGAGAGAGACAAATCATCTCTTCTGGATGTTATTCTCATTCCGCTGCAGCCTTTCTATAAATTCTTGACTCAGCGTCTTTGGTTTGTCATTGAGGCAGCAGCCATTTTCCCATGAAGCCTCACAGGATCTCTTCCCAGCGCCCTGCAGGAATCAATTATCTCATCCTGATGAGGACGAGCTTCTCATTTCAGTTCACTCCCTGATTTATTCCTTTTATTGCTCTGATTCTGCTGCTTCTCACTGAAGACTCACTGTGGAAACATGAACTCCATACAGTTGTAGTTTGTCTGTATTTCTGGTAGATTCACATTTAAAGGTTCGGTTATGCTGCATGAAGATGGATATATACATATAGATATATAAATATCTATATGTATAGACATGTTCATGCAGTAAGTGAACACAAATTGAGCATGATAAGTTCTAACCCATAATTCTGACTTCTCTGTGCATATATTTGGACTGTGTCGCCATCTGCTGGAGAAGATTAAAAATACATTTTACAAACTGCCATCAGTGTCTTTAAACCCTCAATATGACTGAGTGACAGGTGTTGATGAGGTTTGACTTCAACAAAATCCTGAAAACGATGCAGATTAAAAATGCTGCAACATTTTTCAAATAGAATTAAAAACATTATGTACACAATATGCATTTTCTGTCCATGGCTTCACATTCCTAGTTACAGGTGTGTGCATGTGCTTTGAATCAGATTTGCAGCAGCAACTCTAGCTTAATTTGCAATGTAAGGTTTTTGCAGCACGTGTAATAAAGACTTTGAATCTGCAAGTTCGCATCTCTGGTACAAATTCTACTGTTACAGAAACATTGTTTTCCATTGAGACCTGAGAGCAGGAGACAAGCAAAACAGCAAATCAATACACGGTCTTAAAACGATTATAATTGTTAAAATGACCAGATAAAGATTTAAAATCATCCAGGGGGATTGTGAGACTGTAGTTGTAGGACAGATTCTACAGCTGCACAATCCCTCCCATTTACTGTGTGAGCTGTTCAATCTGTGTCTTTATGAATTGGTGAACACTTCAGTTGAAACTGAAGCAGAGGATAAAAAATATAAAGCCAGGGATTCTTATAAACCATCACAGTATCACTTTTTCTTTTTTAAGCAGTAAAAGAAAAAGCTTTTCTTCAGCGAGCTACAATCAGGCAGGCACACGTTTCGATCTCCTGCAGCATACAGCTAGTCTTGTTTTAAAAGGGACCTCCCGAACAAATGCAAATAAGACTTTGAATAACAAAGGAGCGGACGCAGCGTTACAGTTAGAGTCATGTTTATTTACAGCAGAATCCTGAACAGGGAGGGAGAGAAGGTCGGAGGAGGGGAGAGGGGGGTTAAAAGGAGACAAAGTGTTTTAGATCAAGCACTTCAGGATTCATATTTCACTACACAGTTCTTAATTTATTTTATTCACCAGTTTTCTATACAGAATCCATTCAGCCGAAATATCAACGCACCAACAGAGCTGGAGTCCTCTGCCGGAGGGGAGAAGAGGTGGGACGTAAAATAAAAAAAAACTAAAGCACTGAGGGGAAAAAAAAAAAATACTAAGGGGTGGGGGGTAAAAAGAAATCCATTTTCTATAAAAAAGAAACTGTCATTATCACCATGATCGTCATCTGTTATTTATATATGTATATATACACACACACATTTATGTATATATATGTATATAAATCTATATATTTCCTTTCCATGTCTATGAGGAGGTGATGGGAGGGTTTGTGGTTCGATAGCGTCCGAGTTGAGAACTGCATTGAGCGGCAGGCCGGGAGTCCCGACCTGACGGTATCCAGGTCGTAATATTCTGCCCTTGTGAGTCAGTCAGAGTTGACCCCTCACAGTCTTTCCGACCCAGTGGCCCTTGTGTCCCACTGACGCGCACGGTCATAGGTCCAGTGCCTCGTTTTTGTCGGCCAGGAGAGACTCAAAACCGCAGGAGCCCTGTCAACACAGTCTGAGAAATGATACACTGTACACGTCACATGCACGGCCAGATACAATAGAAAAGTTAAAAAAAGAAGAGAAAAAAAAAAAAAGCCAGCAAACTTCATCGTCCTTACGTTCATGTGCTGTTCTGCACTTTTTCTTTCCAGTATACATTAGATAATAACTGACAAGCACCACAAAACAGTGGAAGGACCAAAACAAATGTAAGACTCTCTGGTACAAAAATGTTGAAATTAAAAAAACATCCTATGGGTTAGATTTTATTTCTAATTTTTATTTTCGATTTCTGAAGGGCACCACTGATTTTCCCTCTTCCCTATAGGTCCAAACAGACCTAATGATATCAGGCACGCTCTCTCACTCACACACACACACACATATTTAACTGTCCAACCCAGAAAAACATGTATCTGTGACTACGTAAGAATCACAGTACGTCTTCATAAGCCACTGACCCTCATCTCCAGGCTCCGAGTCAGAACTTTCACAATAGTCAGGTCTTCATCGACTGAGGTGAAACACTGACATTTTCAGAGTTCAGATACGATGTGCTTCTCGTTTGTCAAAACATATTTAAAAAATTGATCAGATAGAATCATGCTCAGACGTTTATAGACTCGTATAAGCCGACATAAGATACGCTTAGTGTTTCCATGACCATAAATGTGTAAAATTTAGGATGTGCACAAAAGAAGTTCAGTACAAAAAACCCAGCATGATGCATGGTGAGGTTTCACGATGAAAACATACTTAAAAATTAATTCAACATTCATTTATTTGAAAAAAAAAAAACAGTTTACATTTTCACCTGTCTGCAAAAAGACTGATAAAAAATAAAAATGACCCCTGTTGAGAAGAAGTTTTCAGTAAATCTTTACAAGATGAAACAAACTGTTTCCATCAGACATGTCCTGTGTTTGAGTTTGATCCAACACGCCCAGCTCACTGGAAACCTGACTATTGCCACCGTTTTCAAACAAGTTTGTGATTTCAAATTAAAACCAAGTAAAACAAACACTCATCTGTTTCGCTCACTCAGACACGCTCACACACACACGCACACTTTAACACTAGAGCAGGAAACCTTTTCATCAACCAGCCACTCATCAAGTTCTTCTGTGTGTTTTTCTTTCAAAAATCCATCAGCTACGTTTCAATCGCACAAGCCAACAAACTTTAGAAAACAGTCTCCGAATGACGGAGGCTCGCAGGTCGACTCGACACAGCAGCCGAGATTTTACCAAAACCGGGCTGTCGGCTGGCGTCAGTTTCCCACTCCACACAACATGCTCCCGATCACAAATACAAACTCATGATACTGCAAATACATGTGTACACATATATACAAATAGAAGCAGCCCCTCAAACACTGTGGGGCAGCTTAAGAATTTATAATGCATAATTTCTGTATATGCCAAGAATAAAACTTTACTAAATAAAATACATAGTTATCTGGTGGGGGGGGGGAATGGGGACAGCAGATGAACAGAGAGGAGGAGGGTGGGGTTTGCAGTGTCTGACGAGGGCGGTAGTGCCGGGGAGAAGCCATCGTTGACGAGTGACGACGAGAACAGACGAAGAGAAGCAGGGGGGAAACGGGGGAGAAGGATGGAGGGGGAAGACTCTTCTCCTTCACTGTGGCTGCTCCCGAGCACTGTCCTGTGCCACTGCAACACTCTGCCTCTTCCCTGGTTGTTTAAATCGTTCCAGAATAATAATATTAATAATAATAATGACCACGACAATGCTAAAAAAATATATATAAACCCCAGCCATGTCTCACATCTGTAAGTCCACAAAAAGGGGGGAGAGGTCTGGCCCTCGAGTTCATCTGAGTCGGCGAAGAACAGACGCAGAGGAAATTTAAGATGCAGGGGAAGAAGGAGAGACGAGGCCTGTTGAATGGAGCGGGCCATGGGAAGGAGGTGGAAAATGAGACCGACTGTAGAAGAGGAAAAAGGGAAGGGGGCAGAACAAAAACAGCACAGGCAGGATGTGCTATAATGAAGAGGAAATAAACAGAAAAGAGGAAGCGGACATGAAACGGGGAGGATGTGGGGACCAGAGATGAGTTGTGTTGGGGCGTTGTGATCCACACACTGGTGTCCTTCTGAGGGTTTTCACAGAAGATTGGCGGAAAGCATGAACAAGTGATGACAACATGGCCTCACTGTGAGTGTACCCTCTCTCCTTCCCTCTAATGGAGGGAAAGGATCCGCAGTCCTCCCCGCGCTGGTGGTTCATCCCAGGGTGCATCATACCTCCAGGAAGCGGGAGCCGCTGTTCTTGGTATGGAAGGGCTCGGACCACATGCGCCGCAAATCCCCCTGTGGACCACAAACACTGCTTCAAAGTGGAGTCTTCAATGTCTCCTCTTGGTCAGCCAAGAAAAAAATGATTCTATCATCACTCTAAAACGTATACTCATGTTGACGTATTCTTTTATTCTACTTTTTATACCTTTCTACCAACTGGTCTACCTTTTTGAAACTTTCTAAAATTCCCTGAGTAGTTGTTAAACAGAAAAGGTTAACACAGATTCCTGACTCTTCTGTCTGAACTGAAAACATGAGCGAGATTAGGCTAGATCGAGACACAGGGTTACGTAGAGTTTACCAGCTTTATCGGTTTCTTAAAAACTAGAATGATTCACAATGAAATGTTTTTTTAAATTTCATGTCTATCTGCTTCAGAGGCAGAGAAACTGAAGATTTTAGAAACAGTTGCACCTCTTCAGAAAACCCTCAGATTTAAGGTGGTTGTTTTCAAACAATACTTTGGTTTTAAAGTGCAATTCAGCGCTTTAGGTCTTAATAGGTTAAAAGAAATGAACTTCAATAGGATGAGCTACACGGTAGAAAACCTAATTTAAAGAAAAGAAATAGAAAAAAGAATCCGTGAGTGGAATATTACCATGAAGTCCACCTGGAGTATTCACACAAGCAGTGTGCAGATCAATGTTCCTTAATATTACAGGATTTCTTTGTGATGAAAAGTACAAATGAATGAATGAACCTGTCCCATCAGTGTACCTTCAGGTAGGCCATAGTGAGCAGAGGCAGCAGGGTGAAGGGCACCAGGTAAAGCAGAGCGGGCTGAGCAGCACGATGGATCCTGGAGGCCACAGTGGCAGTCAGCAGACCTGAAGACAGTCACAGAGTCACACATCGATCACATCATCAATTAAAAACCAAACTGACATACGAGATCCCACTTCAACCCTCTGGAACTATCAACTCCATAAGACTGAAACGATACATCTCTTAATCTTTTACATCCATCCTTACGTCGATCGCTTCCTTACCCACAAAGTATCCGATGAGAGTGCAGTGGAAATAGGAGACGCGCTGCATGCGTCCGGACACGTTACCAGGCCCCGGGACTTCCCCTGACGCTTGCTTCTTGTAGTTGTCATACCGCAGGACGAAACATAACAGCAGCCCCGGCATCACGATGTCTCCTATTCCCAGCATTGAGAAGTGACTTCCGGTGGAACTGCACAGACAGAAAAGAAAAGAGCTTTAGAGAGGGAGTAAATACTAGAAAGCAAAAGCACCAGGATCACAGCGGCTGTGCAACACAAGTCACTGCAAATCCCAAGTGTATCATTAGTGAGTCATCACTTCCTTCTGAAAGCCAACCAAGACTCATCTCTGCTCCAGACAGAAGTCGACAGTCACAGCAGCTGTATCATGAGGTTATAAACTACATTTTTTAATGGAATTTTTTTGAATTTTATGTTTTTACCACTGGCCAGCAACAAAATGTCTGGCCTTAGGGTGGCGCCAAAGAAAACACTGCTTAATGACAGACGCTGATTATCGAATGAAAAGTGACCATTTTGTGACAGATGTGAACTGTGTCTACACGTCCTGTAAAAGAAGATGTATATGAACTGTAAGCCCAGCTGTGCTGCTGCGAAATACAAACGTGTCCATGTTAAGGTTTGAGGAAACTACTCGGGCTCCAGCTGACCATCACTTGTTTGGTCTGGAAAATGCCTGTCACCGCCACAAGACTAATTATACTGAAGCTTAAGTTTTTCATCTGTCTTGTTATGTCCAAATAAAATAAATAAATCTAATTTTATTTGAAAGAGAACCCAAATTCCTATTAACAGTTAAAATATAATTAAAACAAATGACACAGCATAACGTTCTTCTACTAGTTACTTCAGTCTTACCTGGGAAAGACAAGTTTGCCAGGTAGTGAGAGGCGGGGGACATCCCGGCCCATCCCTGGCCCCAAGTGGAGCTTCCTGGACAGAACATCTATGGGGTTTTCAGCAGGTTGGGTGGCAACTTTGACCATAACATTACTATTAAAGATGTAGGCTGAGAAAAACACCTGCAATGAAATGTAAGAGGACAGTTTAGTCTACAGTCATATTGACAAATGCTCATCACAAAGGATTCCTTTTGAGAGGCTGTAACAAATTTTCCCATCAATAGTTTCAACTCGAGATTACACATTTTATGCTGCTGTAAATTTGCCTTTTGTCACGAGTTTATCTGATATATATTCATTCAAACTACATTTTTCAAAAGATTCATTAATCTAATCAATGTAATGTTTGTATGTTAAAACATTATAGTGAACATCAACAGTCAGTGTCAAATGGGTAACAGTAAAGGCAGTGATATCCTGGAAACAATGACATTAAAACTCATCTTTATTCCTTTCTGAGAAGCAGTAGAACGTCTAACAAATATATTATATGACTGGAGGAGAAAATATATCTGAATCTAAAATGTGGAAAATTCACTTCAATAAAGTCATAAAAATCCTTCATCACACACACACACACGACTGAAACAACTCCCATAATCACATTGAAATTCCAGTGCAGAAGAAAAACTACTTTTTTCATTTGTCCAAAGGAAATATTGAAGTCCATCCTAGTTTGTTTAAGGAGACAGATTCTGATGTGCTCACCTCCCTGTTGAATATTATGGTTTTATTATATATCTGCTGTAATTCACACAGTGATTTGCATGTTAGCTGTGACAAAGGTAAGGTTTGAGAAAAGGAGCATTTCTTACCCAGAACACATCATAAATGAGCAATCCTGACAGCAGCAGGCAAGACACCTTCAGACTGGGTAGTCGCACGAAGGCGATCATGGCGACACACAAGCCCATGGCTAAAGCTAAGGGGGGGGGGGGAGAAACACAATTATACATTTTAGCGGAAATTTGGTGAAATTGACATGGGAGCAGATTTTATAAAGTTTATTTAAGACACATTAATTATTGTGGCTGTCAGACTAATTAATTAGATTAATGTGATGAAAAATGTCCTTGTCCCACTTTATGATCTGATACAACATGAGATGGTGTTGAGATTAAACATGGGGCATGTCAAGGTTTTCATTAAAATTACAGTGAGCTGTATTCTTGTATATTCAGTCAAACAAAAGCTTTACAAACAACCACACACACACTTCACTGCTACGTCGGTTTTACAAAGCAGAGCTGACAAGCAGGAGCATCTGCCTGAGTTAGCAGGTAGCACACTGTAGCAAGGGCTTGAAAATGCCCATATTGATGCAAACACTCACTATTGTTCAACGCTGAATAAGTGTGACCTAAACCCACCACCCTACAGTTCAGAGAAATGTGTCATGGGGATCAACAGTTAACAACTTGTAGCACATCTATTTCCTGTGAGCCTGGAAACAAATGTTTTGAGAGTCACGACAGAGCGACGCACCATCCATAAGAAGCCAGTGTCCTGTCAGCACCCAGATGAGCACCAACAAAACAGAGAGGGAAAAGGACAGGAGCTCGGCCAGAGTGAAACGCCCACAGCAGCCGAACGAAATCCTGCAACAAGTAAGAAATACAGTGAAAATCGTAGAGGACTGTTATGAGGAAAAAAAACATTAACAGGATTATATATTTTACCAATCAGCAGCATTTGTTTTTAATTTAGTTGCTCAGAACAACTAGATGGAGAGAGAGCACTGGTGTGTGTGTGTGTCACTGAAGATGATAAAATGTTAGTCAAAAAAAAAAAAGACAAATTCATGCGCTTCTGGTATATTAGTACCACCTTGTGGACTGATGTGGAACAGACACTGCTATTTCTAAAGCCTTAGTGAA